GGGGGGGGGGGGCTGTCTCTGGGGGTTTCCTGCAGAGATGCCCAGGAGAGTAAACACCCCAGGGGTCCCCCAAAGAAATAGCTCAAACCCCTGGGTACCTGCAGATGTGAGCACTTCCAGGGCTGACATGTAGACACTCCGTGCCCACCCATTCACCCTCCAGATCACGTGGACAGCACGGTACGGCAGCCAGGCTGGCAGCATCCAGCCAGCAGAGGTCCAGCAGGAGGTGGTAGTCAGCTATCTGCCCCTCAGCCACATTGCTGCCCAGATATACGACCTGTGGACAAGCATTCAGTGGGGGGCCCAGGTCTGCTTTGCTGAACCTGATGCACTAAAGGTCAGTCTGCCCTTTGCCCGTGTGGAGGTCTGAGTATGTGTGCCAGGGCGAACCCATGTGTGAGCTCGTGGGTCCTGGGCATGCTTTTGGGACTGTGCCAGCTCCCTGGGTGTTTATCAGTCAGAATTATTTCAGCTGCAATCAACACAGCTTTCAATGACTGAACAAGAAGGGAAACTGACAACATTACTTAAAGGAAAGTTGAGTCAGAGTAGTTCTGTGGAGCCACAGTACCTTTGAAGACTAGCCATCCTCAGTGGAAGGTCTCAGATGGTCACAGATGGGCACTTATTTTAACCATCAGGACTTTCCCAGAAGCCCCCCAGTTGACTTCCCCCCATGTGGCATCTCATTGGCCCAAGTGGGGTCACATGTTTATTCCTGAACCAGTCACTGCTTGGGGGGATGGGCTATCTGTCACCTTTGAGTTAGAATAAGGAGAAGTCACCACCTAGGACTTCGGAAGCATTTGAACAACATTGGGGTTCTATTAGCAGAAAAGAGCAAGGAGCAGTTGGCTGCTGAGTTGAAGCCCACAGCCTATGCCCTGAGGTATGTGTGAGTGTGTGCACACCTATCTGTGTGCTTGTGTGCAGAATGCCTGTAGTGTATGCATGCTGACCATGGGGACAGGACATCCTTTCCACACTTGCCCTGTACTAGCAGGCCTATCTCTCTCTGGCGGCGAGCAGGGGAGCCTGATAGAGACGCTGCGGGAAGTGGAGCCCACGTCCCACATGGGGGTGCCTCGGGTGTGGGAGAAGATCATGGAGCGCATCCAGGAGGTGGCGGCTCAGTCTGGCTTCATCCGGCGCAAGATGCTACTGTGGGCCATGTCAGTGATGTTGGAGCACAACCTCACCTGCCCGGGCAGGTAGGAAGGCTGGGTCACAACCTCAGTATGCAACCGAGGATCGGCTAAGGCAGGCCTATCCCGGCCCCACTGGCCTGTCAGGTCTGGGAACCCTATGCAGAGGCTCCAACAGTGGTTGGGCTTGAGCCCCGGTCCTCTCCCCCGGCCCCACAGGAGTCACCCCATCTTTGGGCTCTGACTGTGAGGACTGACTTGTTCCCTCCAGGTACATTCAGTGATGGGGCTTTTCCAGCCTTTCCAGCCTCCCAAATGACCACTCAGATCTCTCCTGTGGCCTCTCGATTGCTGCCTGAGGGTTAGTGACATAAATTTGGCCTGTACCAATTTAGAAATATTTTCCATGACTAGTGTCTGTGACACTGCATCACGTCTCATGAGATGTGTACACATGTCTGCACCTGCATTTCACATGCACAGACATGAAGTGAAAGTCCATGATGACTCAGTCATGGGCTTCAGATGGGCTCACACATGTCCGTCCAGGCTTGTCTAGGTGTGAATGCTTCCAGTCTCTGCACATGTGTACTCCTGTGTGTGCAACTGTGCTGTTTCCTTTGTGCCTGTACACAGCTGAATCTGTTTGTTTGACTTCCTGGCTCGAGACAGATGTGCACCTATGTGTGCATGCATGTTTATAGGCAGGGCCAGTATTTAAAATATTTAGTGTCCTAGGCAGTGTTACTCAGTGGTTAGAGCACCAGTCCACGCACTGAAGAGTCGCAGGTTCGATTCCTGGTCAAGGGTGGCACGTACCTGGGTTGCAGGTTCAATCCCTGGCCTCCTGGGCATGTGCGGGAGGCATCCAATCGATGTCTCTCTCTCACATTTGTTTCCCTCCCTCCCTCCCTACCATGCTCTCTAAAAATCAATGGAAAAAATACCCTCAGGAGAGGATAAATGACACAAAATGTTTAGTAACGGGTTCCGCATGGCACCACCCAGTCAGGACAGAGAACAGCCAGCCAGTGTGTATCCACAAAATACCCAACTTTTAACATGAGTGCTTGTGTGCATGTGTGTGTTTTCCTCTGTGGCCCATTCTCCCTTTCCTACCAGCGACCTGAAGCCCTTCACAACCAGACTGGCAGATTACCTGGTGCTGGCCAAGATCCGCCAGGCACTGGGCTTTGCCAAGTGTCAGAAGAGCTTCTACGGAGCAGCCCCCATGACGGCGGAGACACAGCACTTCTTCCTGGGCCTCAACATCCGCTTGTACTCGGGCTATGGCCTCAGTGAGACCTCGGGCCCCCACTTCATGTCCAGCCCCTGCAACTACCGGCTGCACAGGTGCGCTCAGGGCAGTGCCTGCATGCCCACGTGCCCTTGCTAACACCCCTCAGAGCCCGTCTGCTGGCTGGGCCCCAGAGCCTGGGCCCCTGGACTATGGGGTCCCAGTGCTAACCCTGGCCAGGCCTCAGTCCCACTGTGGTGGTCTCTGCCAATGTCCCACAGGTCTGTAGTGGAAAACTAACAGCCTCGGGACCCCTGAGCAGGGTTCTGATGGAGGAGTTCCCCTCAGCATTATTGGTGGTCCAGGTGCCATGTGGGGTAGGAGTTGGGGGACAGGGCCAGCCCTCTGGTGGGCAGAGAGGACAGTCAGTTCTGGGGAGTGAGTCGAAGAATCATCTCTTGGGCTTAAATATCTCCTGTACCTGCTCACCTTTCACAGAGCCTAAAGTTGTCCCATTAGGGACAGACATTCATTCATTCATTCACCTAAAAACCTTTGATTGGCCCTACTTCTCAGCTGTAGGTCCCCTGTTAATACAAAAAGCCTGGGAGGGGACACCTTCTGGCCATCAGTGAAGACTGAGAGGTTGGGGATCCCAGGGCTCTCGGGGGCTGATCCTCTGGGGCTTGGAGGAACCTGCTCCCTCTGACCAGGCCTCTGTACACTTCCCCTCCCCAGCTCTGGCAAGGTGGTGCCCGGCTGCCGGGTGAAGCTGGTGAACCAGGATGCAGAGGGCACTGGCGAGATCTGCATGTGGGGCCGCACCATCTTCATGGGCTACCTGAACATGGAGGACAAGACACGAGAGGCTTTGGACGCTGATGGGTGGCTGCACAGCGGTGACCTTGGCCGCCTGGACAGCGACGGCTTCCTCTACATTACAGGGCGTCTCAAAGGTGTGAGGATGCAGGGACAGGGGAAGGTTACACGGCTACCACCGTTTATACCTGATACAAATAGTCCTTAAGTGCCACCACCTTGACAGACATCATTTTACTTACTAATGAGGACACCCAGAGGGGTTAAGTAACTTGTCCAAGGACACCTAGCTAGAAAATGGTGGAGCTGGGATTCAGACTCCCTAGAGACACAAGGCAAGTCTTTCCAGAAAATTTGAAGGCATAAATATTATGTATTTTTATATTTGCCTGAGTGATATGACAAACACCTGGGCCAGGTGTCTTGGTCTGTTCTGTGCCTGATGTCAACACAGGACTTGTGCACAGAATGGGACCAACTCATCTTTGTTGAATTAGAGAGAATCAGAGGACAGGAGTACAGTTTAGCTAATTCAGTCAAGGTGTGTTTATTAAGTGCCGGTGCATCACCATCCAGCCTGGAAGGAAGCCATCACACAGAGGACAGACCAGAGCGTGGCGGGCCCAGCTCTGGCCTTGCACACATAGGCACTCAGTGCACATTTATTTGGATGAAAGAAGGACCCGTGATGAATGGATGGACACTGAGAGAAGCTCAGAGAAGGCAAGAGTTAGTGAGGACAGGAAGAGTCGGACAAGGCTTCTTGGAGGAGGCAGCTGAGCTGGTCCTTGCAGAATAGGTAGCCTGTTGGACAAGTGGGGAGAAGGGGAGAGGACGTCCCATAGGGCAGGTGTAAGCAAGGTGAGAGGCCCCATGGCAGGGTGGGGAAGAGCACGGGCTCTGGAACTGCACTGCACTTAAATCAGCTCTGCTATGTGGCCTTGGACAAGTTACTGTGCCTTGGTTTCCTTGTCTGTGAAATGGGAAGGATGCCTACTTTATAGGTCTATTGTGAACGTCAAATGAGTTACTTACATGCAGCACTTACCACAGTGCCTGCACAGTTGAGTGCTGAGTAAGTGGTGCGTGGTGGTCACTCAGCAAAGACAGGAAGCAGTGACATGGGGACTCGGGGTGAGGTAGGAGGGTCAGTGAGGAACTGGGTCTGGTAAATGTCTGAGCAGGCAGAGTCTCGGGTGCTGAGGAGAGGAGTGGGAACCCTGGGTGAGCATTTGTCCTCTGGGAAGTGTCACCATTCCCCAGCAGATATGAGGGGCTTCTGGGGGGTGCTGCTTTTCCACTGCCACAGAGGGGTACCTCTGGCCTCCGCCTGGGTCCAACAGTGCTGCCCCCTGCTCTGGCCAGGGGGCTGTGGCCGAGGCTTGAGTTCCTGGTTCAACCATAGCCTGGCCTTACCTCCCCAGAACTAATCATCACCGCCGGTGGGGAGAATGTGCCCCCGATGCCCATTGAGGAGGCTGTGAAGACGGAGCTGCCTATCATCAGCAGTGCCATGCTGATCGGGGACCAGAAGAAGTTCCTGTCCATGCTGCTCACATTGAAGGTATGTCTGTGAGTCTGGCCCAAGCAGAAGCCACTTTCAGACAGTACATACATGTGTGGGTGTCAGGACTTTATTCTGGAATAAGCAGTCAGTGCTCCTGCTCTGGGGGCAGGCGTCCCATAGGGAAATTCCTGCTGTCCCGGAGCTACACTTAGCAGCATGCTGCTGTGACAGTCCTTCCCATCTTCAGCAAAGTCTGCTCAGCTGGTGCGCAGCCTGCAGCTGCTGGATGTGGCAGGAGTTATGGTCCCTGCTCTCGATTATGGTTTCATTGCCTGAGGTCTGTAAGCTCTATTCCACCACAGTCCCCCCGGGGTGGCAGCCACACCCCAGAACCACAGCTCACAGGATCCACCTCCTGGACACCAGCAGTAACACTCCTCTGGGACCAAGTCGGGCGTGTGCTGTGGAGGTGTGCTGATCCCATCTCTGGTTTGCAGTGCACTCTGGACCCAGACACCTCTGACCCTACCGATAATCTGACCAAGCAAGCTGTGGAGTTCTGCCAGCAGGTGGGCAGCAGCGCCACCACGGTGTCCGAGATTGTGGGCAGGAAGGATGAGGCCGTGTACCGAGCCATTGAAGAGGGCATCCAGCGAGTGAACAGGAACGCAGCCGCCCGACCCTACCACATCCAAAAATGGGCCATTCTCGAGAGGGACTTCTCCATTTCGGGTGGAGAGTTGGGTAGGTTTGTTTTGGTTTTATTTCCCATGGTTCCAATCACTGTGTGGTGGGAGGCCATAATGGAGCCTGGGAGGTGCCTGTCAGGAAGCAGTCATGGCAAGCAGAAGTCCCTGACGGCACTTTGGGTGACCAGCACCCACCCTCTTCACTTGGGAAGACACTGCTCAGTGCATGGGCTGTGGCTGTGAGAGCCTGTTGTGTGTACAAGGTACGTGCTGGAACCTGTTAATTTGAACATAGGACATTTGACTTTGCTTTGGCTATGAGACCACTGTGTCCTGAGACCAACATGAGGCCACCTGGCAGACCCCAAGGCCCTGTTAGTGTTTGGTCTGGAGTCACCTGGCTGTAGGGGGGTGAGACCACCATAATCTTCCGCAGAGTGAGCTTGTGTGGCAGGTACAGTGGTAAAGCCCCTCTGGACCATGGTCCACAGAACTGGAAAGGCCTCTGGTGTGGCCTCAGCTGGGTGGATGATGTCACTTCTTGGGGTGTTTTCATAGCACAGGGAGCTGGCAATGGCTTCTTCAGTGAGGTGCCCTCAGACCCTTCAAGGCTGGATGCAGGTGCACTGCCACAGTAATGCTAGCTGCTGTCGCCTGGAGTGTGTCTGGCTGTCTGGCTAACACTGAGAGCACAGCCAGCCAGACAGATGTCCTCACTAAGCAGTTTATATAAATGACTTTGATTTTGAAGTCTCCAGTTACACAGCCAAGAGTGAGTTAGCACAAAATGGACTTTCGGCTGTCTAGCACCTTGAATCTCAGCCTTTTCCACCCTTGCTTTTGAAGGAGAGCTAAAGACAAGACAGGTGATTGGGGGAAGGCCTCTCGGCAGGGTGCCCTCTCCCCCATCACAGGCAGTCAAAGCATAATGCCCAACAGTGTGTGAACTTTCACTGAAATGCAGACAGGACTTGCACATTAGTTGTGTAACGAATTACCCCAAAAGTTAGTAGCTTAAAACAGTAAGCACTTGTCTTAATTTCTGTAGTCAGAAATCCAGGCAGCTAGCTGGGTGGTTCTAGCTTAGGGTCTCTCATGAGGTTCCAGCAAGTGTCAGTTGGGCAGCAGCCATCTGAAGCTGTAGGGGCCACTTCCACGCTCACTCAGGGATGTTGGCCAGACCAGTGGCCTCGCCATATGGCTTGCCCCAGAAACAGTGATCCTGAGAGCCCAGGGCAGAACCTGTTGTCTTACCATTCTGGTCACTTGAATCCATAGAGGTCAAAAGTGGGTGCAAGTAAAGACTAAGGTGGATGTGGCTCTCACTGCTATGTACATGAGAGAAACTGGTCTCTCATAACCATTCTCTGAAGTAACAGTCCATCAGTCTGTGTTCTCTTGGCCACTTCAACCAATGCTAGTGCAATGTGAGTAGCAAGGGTCACTTAGGTCCATCTCAGAGGCTACTTGTTTGTCTGGCATAATTCCAGACACGGGACTCACGGAGTCTAGATCTTGACCACACACCTCCTCAGATTTCTGAGAGACCTCACACACTCATTTTTCCCCGATTTCTCTTTTAGGTCCCACAATGAAACTGAAACGGTTTGCAGTTATGGAGAAGTACAAAGACATCATCGACTCCTTTTACCTAGAGCACAAAAAGTAGCCAGGGGCCTCCCAAAGCCCTGTCCTGCTCCACATGCTCTGCAGTCTGGGGTGGGCTCTGCCGGCAGGTCTGTTAGGTCAGGTGTGGCCCCAGCATCAACATTCACCAGGTTTCATGCCAACAGTAGCTAACAATTCTGAGAAGCTTCAGGTGTGCATAGTTTTAGTTTTAAGCATTGCTTTTTGTGTAGGTGACAGACCAGCTCTCCTTCCAGAAGTAAAGGGCTGACACTTTTTGGCATTAGTTCCAGGTAGATTTTATGGGCTGCTAGCTCCCTGAGTGGGCTGCCAGCGGCAGACTGTGTGGGGGAGGGAGGGGAAGTCGGCTCTTGTTACTGTGTGTGTTGCAGGGAAAGCAGTGGCTGTAACTCACTCACTTATTCTGGAATCTGCTGGATGCTGCTGACCTGTCACTCCAGAGATTCCCAGGCTCTCCTCCACGCACTCGCCCACTCACTTGATGCTTCATACAACTGCTGTCCATTTGTATTTAATGTGTGATTTGGATATTAAACTTTTTAACAGAACTGTCAACAAATACCTGATTTTTCTGTCAGTTGAGAAGAAGGAACCTGTCCACAGTGGTGGGTATTTAACCCACAGGACTGTGCACAATCACATGAGTGGCCATTAGTGCCTGGAAAAGCAGAGGTGCCAGAGGGTCCAGTCAAAGCAGGCAACTCTACAGGTGTCACCAGCACACCACCCTTGCCACTCGGAACCCCGGAAGCAATGCAGCCATTCCTAGTGCAAGCTGAGCCACAGTGCCCTAAGGCATCTAACGGGGAAAGGTAGAGAAAGCACACACCTCAGTCAGTTTTGGAATTCTTTATTAGTTTGAACCCAAGAATAATTCGCACAATCCAATAAAACAGGAAGCAGCAGCTTAAACAGAGTAAAGTACAGGTAAGATTGTAAGTCTGGTGACAAGCCTAAAAATGCACCCAGATAGGGATGTCTGTTGTTAAGAAATCCCTGTGACCTGGGTACGTTATGCAAAGCACGGGTTTGTGTCGTTGCATGAGGGGCAACATAAGTTGCCTTTGGTTTGGAGCCAAAGGGTAACTGTTCATGGAGATAGTGACTCAGTATCTGAAAATTAAGAAAAATCATGCTGGGCAGCAGGGGGCTGGAGGGGCCTGAAGGTCAAAGGCTGAGCCCAAACCCAGCTGCACATTTGTGTGAACAGCCCAGGCTGAGTCTGCTGTCTCTGCAACCTCATCTCTTACTGGTGGTGCTTTGGGGAAGGGAGAGGGGTGACCACAGATATGTAAAATTAATAGCATGGTCAGGCCTTTTAGCAGGATCGGCTGGAGTGTGATATGCGTGCTGCAGGAGTGTGACGGCACACAGTGGTCAGCTGCCACGTCCGACTCAGTCATTTCAGGGGCTCAAAGGCTTAACATATGTCCAGTGAAAAGGAAGTGTGGCCCTTCACTTCATGGAAAGCTCACAAACAATAATCTCAAGGTAACAAAATAGTTGAACCAACAATACATTTGTGTCTTTATAGCCAATATATTACCTATATCTATTTAACAAAAGTTACATCTCATATATTTCTTGGTTCTAAAGTCTTTATTCATATTCAGTAATTCATATAAAGGACAAATCTGTCTTAATTTTCCATATCATAAAGAAATATACCATAGTCACTGTTTTTGACGTGATCTTTCCTAGGAAATTTCCCGTTCATTTGATAAGAATGTCATCTTGTGCTATTATGTCAGTATTCTGCTTAATTTCTATTACATTTTTCATAAGCTAAGGAAAACTTTTTCTTTAAAAAGTTAGATGTTTCTTCTTATTAATTCTGTACCATATTTACAGTTGAGGGAAACTGTTTTAACTGAAGTGTAAAATGGTTAACATTGGCAAATGATACAGTCCGCTTAGAGTTTACAAAAAATGTATACCAAATAGACAGTAAACAAAACAAGCACTTGGAAAAGTTCTTTGAAAGCAGACCTAGGGACATCACCTGCATCCTCTGCACAGATTTGTTAAAAGGCCGGATCTAGAAATGGACTATCAGGAAACAAGGAAACCAAGTGCACACAGTAGGATGTGTTCTCATACAGCTGTACGTGGCATCATTAGGAGTGACTGATGCGAATACCTTCTCTAGAAGCCTTACTCTAAATCTTTCACTCGGTGACAGATTTCTTCTGTGAAGTCTGAACATTTTGCGTTGCCTCCCAAATCTTTTGTTAAGCTCTGAGAAAAGAAAAAAGCAAAAGTAAAAATGTATTTGTACTAAGTCAAAGCAAGGATCATTTCGTTTAAAGCACCTGGTAAGATTCCAGATGAGCAAGTTGCCTGGATGCCCTTTCATTTAGTTCATGTCAAAAGCTGGGCCCTTCCCACCACATCCACCTATCCCAGAAGGATGGCAAAGGCCCTTTGTCCATATGACAGGCCCCAAGAAAACACCTAATTATGGACATTTAATATCTAAGCAAGGGAACCATAAATCCCTTAGGGAATTTCTAAAGTTTAAAAAAACTTGACATATTTTGATGTTTTTGGAGGTTTGCAAGCAAATACTAAGGTTACATTTAAATTACTAACTCTTCAACTTCCTTCTTTAGGGAAGAAATTCTCCCATACGGCCACTCTGTTTCCTACCAGCTTATCCTCTCTTCACTCCCAGAAAGGCCTCCATATATTTCTCTTGTACCAGCACATCCTGCAAAATCAAAAGGGCCTACTGTGTAATTTGGTACCCCTCTGCTGGGCTCTGTAGGTTAAATTCACAAATGTGCTATCAGAATAATAAATACACAAAATCATACTCCCTTCAGTAGGACTATCAGGCTGTTAAAAACAAGCTTCGGTTGCTTTATTTTGGCTGTAAGAAGTAATTTCAGATTACACAATTTTTTTAAAAGGAGCCAACCTTGAAAACATTATGCTAAGTGAAACAAGCCAGTCACAAAATGACAAATATATGATTCCACTTATGTGAGGTCCCTAGAGAGGTTAAAATTGTAGAGACAGAAAGCAGAAGTGTGGGTGCCTGGGGCCAGGGGGCGTCTGTGTTCAGTGGGGCAGAGTTTCAGTTTAGGAAAATGAAGAAGTTCTGGAGATGCATGGTGGTGATGCTTGCACAGCAATGTCAGTGTACTTAATGCCACTGAACTGCACACTTCAAAATTACCAAAATGGTAAATTTTATATTCTGTGTATTTTACTGCACTATAAAAGAAAAAAAGAAGAGTCCTCAGATCATGAATCAGCTTTTAAGGGCCAGCCTGTGAAGCCATCACCTCCTCCGTTCTCCCCGCTTCTGGGGCCACAAGGGCTTATGGAAACAGTGAGGCTTGTTGGGCAAGAGCCAGACTGGGTGTGAACCCAGCTCTGCCATTTGGAGCTGTGAGACCTTAGACAAATTAATCTCTCTGTGCCTTAGTTTCTTCATCTATAAAATCAAATTCTTTACAGGATCTACCTCGCAGAGTAGTAAAGATTTGCTGAGATGACATATGCTAAGAACATAAAATGTAGGTATTTGATTACTATTAGACATTATTAATACTTTTACATTTATACATCTTGTACACGGCATATAATACCAGTGTATCACAGACACATCTGAATCTGTATCTACCGCTAGCTTTGGAGCTCCTTGAGGCCCAAGACCTCTTATTTCTCAGTTTGTTGTATTCGTCATACCTCATAATGTACACAAGAGATTTTTGTTGGGAGGAGAAAAAAGCTGCATGGAAAAAGTAAAGGCCTTCGCCAAGATCACATTGCCACCAACGGGAGACTTGGTGTGCACTGGCTCTGATTCCCAAACCTCTGCGCTTCTCAGCCCTTTCTGGTGAAACATATGGATCCTCCCTTCAGGAAATGCATACGTGTGCACACGCACCCTGCATTCACTTGGGGGCCCTTGAGGAGAGAGCCTGTTCAGCATCAGTCCTTCAGGGCTGTTGAGCGCCACCATCTGCCCCCTCTCAGGTAAAGCGCACAAAAGACAAGCATTTCACAGCACAGGGACGTGTTACGGTACCTTCCCACCCTTAATTGTTGCAAAGCAGGCAGTCTCGATCCGCGCAGCATGGTCAAACAGCCCCATGTGGCGCAGCATCATCACCGCGCTGAGCAGCAGGGCTGTGGGGTTGGCCATGTCCTTGCCAGCAATGTCTGGGGCCGTCCCGTGAACCTGCCTCAGGGAAACAGCACAGTCAGGGGGACAGGGCAAGCAGCCCTCTTCTGGGAACCTCACCAGTGGAAGACATTCCTGAACAGCGGCTGTGCCCAACTCATCAGACACATATTTAAAAATAAAGCCGCAGAGAAATAAAGGGTGAAAGTAATTTTTTTTTAAATTGCAAAACTATGGACTAACCATCTTTTCCTGTTAACTTTTGGTAAAATTTTTTAACTGAGGAAATATAAATACAAGTATACAAAACAACGGAAATGAATGAATAAACCAGGCTTATGTAAAAACTTCAACAAAGCATCACCTTTCAACAACTGGAAAACCTAAAGAGTTCAAACATATTTATCAGCTCCCCCTTCCTGGGCTCTCATGCCATCCTGACCCACATTCTGCTTTGAGTATCAGCAGGGTCCTTACCGACTCGAAGATCGCGACCCCATTGGCACCAATGTTGCCGCTTGGTGTCACACCAAGACCTCCAATCAATCCTGCACACAGGTCACTGGGGGCAGAAAGAACATCAGGGTGTTGTTTGAAAAGCAAAACATCTCCCCCAGCATCCAGACTTCAGTTTTTAAATAGCATCCTCCACTGAAAGGAACTAGGGCTCCGTAGAGAAATGGCTGACTCTAGGACTACGGTTAGGAAGAGTTAGGACAAGCCTGGAGCATGTGGCTGTGCCAGAAAGCAAATGACAGCTCAAAGGGATGCCCCCGGCCAAGTCAGGACAACAATATGAATGATAGGATGGACACGACCACTGAATAAAAGAAGTGAGTCCTGACTGATTGATATAGATACATACGAGACAAGAAAAAGCTTATTCCAGTAGTAGAATGCAAACCAATGAATCTAAGAAGAAATGATGGACTCAGAAAATCACCATTTGGCCAATATCATGAGTGTGAGTATGTAGAGAGGGAGAAATACAGTAAATGTGGTAAAATGTTAACACTTCTGGGCCGAGTACACTGGAATTCTGTGTAACATTCTTGCTACTTTTCTGTAAGTTTGAAATTATGTTAAAAGTTACAAAAAATGTCTACCCACCTACCCGGTGATACAGAAAACATTGAAGTTAACCCACCAGCCAACCTATAAAACTCTGAAGAATGTGAAGCAGGAGCTCATGATCAGGAAGCAAAAGCCCAGAGCCGATGTGGCACATAAATGAAGGAAAACCCACCAACATGTAACCACTGAAACCACCACCTGAGTTGTTACAGCTCAACTCATATCTTACAGCAAACACAATTTTTGGGCATCTATGAAGAAACCATAGGCTAAAAGAGTGCGGCCAGACTTACCTCAGAATGTCTCCATACAAATTAGGCATAACAAGAACATCAAATTGGGATGGATCCTGGACCATCTACAAGAAACAAATTTGTGCACTTGGCCATCAAAACTGCATAGCACATGGACACACTATACACCACAGAAAGGAGCAGATAAGTATGAGTATATACTTACATTCAAACATACTGTGTCAAGGTACATCTCATTAAATTTAATGTCTTTACAGTTTTCTGCAACTTCCCTGCATTTTTGCAGAAAAAGCCCATCTGACATTCGCCTGTATTTAATAAAAACAGTTGAAAGCAAAAACTTGCAGAAAGAAAAGCATCAAATCAGAGAAGTAAAGCAAGTTCAAGAAATTAAGTTCCAGAAGACAAGATGTGTGATTTCAATTACAGTAAAATTTTTTAGGCAGTAGTGTTATCCAGCAAGATTAACAACTCTCTATTAATAAGAAAATGCTAAAATTCCTTTAAAAGATTAACTTGTCCTGTGTCTTTGTACACTCACAGGTGGTCTTTAACAGACTGGGGCTGAGAACATAAACTGCTAGAATGATACAACCAACAGTATTAGCACTATGAGCGCTGACTATTTTAAGCCCCTAAGCATGTGGCCATTTCAGAAACACTCCCACTGGGCCACTTCTACTGCGGTTTCAGACGCTATAGCTCCTCTGATAATCCTAAGCCCCTCCTTAAACTTTCAGGACCTGAATTCCTGCACTCCCCCAAACTGCTCCAGTCATTCACCCAGCGAGGCACATAACATAGGTGACTGAGACACAAGGGAAGTGCCACACCCTTCAGTGGTTACAGGTAATCTTCAGAGACATCACGAATCAGTGAGCAAGCTGGACTGAAGTAGGAAAGCCCCACCTTCGCTCCCCACACAAAGCAAGACAGGGTGCTGGCCCTGCAGGGACTCACATGATGTTGGCTTTGTGCACGGCAGTGACATTGCTCCGGTGATTGTTCCGGGCGTACTCAAAGGCGAACTCTGCAATGCGCCTGCTTGCTTCCTCGGTGATGAGCTTGATGCTCTGCACAACTCCATCCACGATCTGAAAGACAGGAAATCCTGCCTTGCTGGAACAGATGTGGCAACATCTCTGCCCTAGATGGCTGTCAGTGTGTCAACAGTAGCATTAGTCGTGTGCTCGCATGGTGCCAGCAACCGTGGCTAGCATCACACATACAGTGTGTCAGTGGGGTTAATGTTGACCCTGCCCTACAAGGTAGGTATTAGAAGCCCCATTGCACAGGTGAGGAAAACTGAGGTGCTAAGATGGTCATGTGACCAAGAGCACCCCTGTGAAGTCAGGCTTCAAAATTCAAGCATGGCATGTTCCCAGGCCTGTGCTGTTCTCTGCGTATCTGTGTGAGCACCATGGGCCAGAGACCAGGACCAAGACAAATGCCCACACCTCACAGAAATCAAAGTGAACTACTTCTGGGAGATGTTTTCACTGGGAATCTGAATAACTACCCAAGTGCATAGCAAGCAACTCAACTAAGAATAACAAGTATCTGAAAGGAACGTACCACATGCTCGATTCCACTGTACTCTCCTTCTGTGTTCTCTCGAATGGTGACGATATTTACATCATTGTAAGGGGTTTTATAGCCTTCAATTGAGACACATGGTCGGACATTTGCATAAAGGTCAAAGGTTTTACGCAGCAATAAATTCATGGATGGGTGACCAGCTGCTATTGGGGTCTTTAGGGGGCCTGTAATAAAGAAGAATGCCCTGATGACAATAGGATCATCTTTTCTTTATAAACACAAGTACATAAGTTTACTTGAAATTATAATTTTTTTGGTTTCAATTTTCCATCAGAGTTGTACTCAGGGCCCTTTCTCCAAATGTCCAGTGGCTATATGACATGTCTAACATGCTGCTTCATGAACTAAGGGACAAAAGGACAGACAGGTGCCCTGTTTCTGAGTCGGGTGTTCTCTTCATCGTGGATGAGTCCATCCCGCTGGTCACCCACAGGCAATCCTTCAGCACCTACTCCCATGGTCGTCTACCCACCCACCTGGGCTGCCTTGTACGTGCATTCTGCCTGACTTTAGCTGCCCCTCAGTTTCAGGTAAAGGAAGGACATCTCAGGGAAAATTTCTGGAATGTTAACTGAACACCTACTGATTGAGGACCAAGCATGACATGATCTAATCCTTGCCACCACCCTATGAAGTCTCAGCTCTATTACTGTCACTTAAAAGTGGAAGAATAAACCAAAATTCTTTTTGAAAAGCAAGAGAAAGAAATTTGTACAGGCCTCCCAGGCAGTTAAGTGACAGAGATTTCACACTTGATCTGTCTGGATTTAAAGCCTGTCATGTGCTAGGATTTTGAATCATGACCTTAAGCATGTGTTAACTAAAATAATAAAAATATAAAAATTATGCAAAGATAAAACTAGGTAAAGATAAATGTATACTTTCATTTGACATTAGCAGTAATACTTAATGTTTTTACTGCGGAAAAATATTTCCCAAAATGAAAAAATAGCATCTGACTATGAGTAAGCTGTTTCATTAAAGGCTAGCTTTATTTAGCTTAAACGTATACACTTTCAAAACATAACACTGGGAGCAGAAATCAGTATCATGTCCACCTCCGAGCTACCTTTCAGGCCCATCTTGTTCTTGTCCATAGACTCTTTGGCTTCTGGAGGGATCATCCACTTTCCTCCTGGTCCTTGAATGGCAGTGACATTCCGTTCCTCCCACTGAATGGGCGCCTAGATGCCACACCACAGAGCACAGTGAACGGGAAAGACTGAGCGTGAGTGACATTCACACAATTACCAACAAACTTCTTCATCTTGGGATGCAACTGGTAAAAACACACACGATAAAGGTCCAGAAAGTTCCTGGCATGCAAGAAGAGATGTCATTCTCTGGCTTGCCCTGAGGGACTCTCCACATCACCCCTGTCAAGTCACTCCTAGCTGCCACCTGCCCACTTAAGTTTCTCACAACTCTTAAAGTGGCTATAATTAGAATAGCATCAGGAGCGGAGAAATACGGTTCACAGAAATACTACAGACAACAGATACATGTGTGAACCTGGAAAACACTATGCTAAGTGAAATAAACCAGGCATAAAGGACTCTATATTGTAAGATTCAATTCATAAGAAACGTACAGAGGCCAATCTATGGAGACAAAGTAGATCAGTGGCTGCTTGGGCTGGTGATGGGAGAAAGGAGGCTAAGAGAGATGGGGGATGGGGAGTGACTGCTAATGGGTATGGGGTTTCTTTTCTGGGTGATGAAAATGTTCTAAAATTAGATCGTGGTGAAGGTTGCACAACTCTGTGAATGTACTAAAAACCACTGAATTCTACACTTTTCAGTGGGTGAATTGTACAGTATGGGAGTTACCTCTCAGTAAGCTATTAAAAAAAGCAAAATATAGTACATAACCTATGAAGGTAACAGCTCTAAGGCATAAACCACAGCTTCATCCTTTCTTTCCACCCACATCCTCAGATGTGTACACACACACATTTGGCAGCTGGCACACCAAGTGTGCACTGGGAATAAGCAGAGTAAGACATGCTCCTGTTCACAAAGATCTTACAGCTCAGGGAGTGATGACATATAAGTTCACCTGGGGAATGTGGTACTGTGTAAAAATCATTTCCTCTGCAGGACTTTTAATTAGAAGCTTACATAGAAAAACAGTGTATGTGTAGTTTAAATTGGATGGGGAACATCCTGCCCCTGCCAAGGCAACCCTGGTCTGACCCTGCCAAGGCAACTGCAAGCGGAACTAGAAATTCAATAAATCCAGGAGCCTTTTTCATAGCTAATTTTTAAGTTGATAATTTTGTGTGGCCCGAGAATGATGTCATAAATATCCAAATGGCCCTTGGCAGAAAAAAGGTCCCCCACCCTGGTTTAAAGAAATTGCATTACTCAACTTACAGCTGTTGGTGGTATAAAAAACAATGATTTAGCCTTATACATTATATCACCTAGCAGCTATAGATAGTAATAATAAGCATCATGTCAAAGTCCAAGTTTCCTAAATTCCCAAAACAAAAAGGGTTTTAAAATATCTGCCTGCATTGAACACTGGGCTGTTAGAATAATACCTCACAGCAGATAATACCACATCAGAATTTTTTTTAATCTTTCAATCTCCTATATAGGGTTTTGAAGTATCAGTTCTTTTCTCTTAGGCAAGAAGGCAGAAGGCAGTAGACAGGTGACTTAACAGGGCTGCAAGACCTTAAGCCCGGGCAGGGTTCAGAGATCCACGAATACCTTGGAACTGCTTTGATTACTTTCCACAGAACTGATGCTAACGCAGCAGCTTAAAACACAGCAGCAAACACCAATGTTCAAGTTAAAATCGTCAAGATTCACAACAGACCTTACCAACTTCATACAAATGTGAACAATTCATCCTAAGAGTTCACAGACTCCAACTGGCTAAAGAACTTTTCTTCAAATTACTATTAAAGGGATTTTTAAAGTCCACTTACTTTGGCAGCATCAAAAATCTTCATAACTGCGGCTGAAATTTCTGGGCCAATACCATCTCCTGGAATTAATGTTACTGTTTGAACCTGAATGTGAGAAATCATCAAAGAACACCATAAGAATTGATTTTTGAAGGTTTAAAAAAGGATATCGTTGACAAAGAAATCCATGGGTCTCAAGAAGACCCAAATGCCATTAAGAAAACAGACCTACTTCCCCAGGGCTCATCGAAGGAGGCAAAATTTAAGAGACTCCACAGTTCCACTCTTTACCTGAGTCAAGAGGTTGTGAAAAGAATTCAAGTGATGCTCTTTAGATGAAGCAAAAATAACTTAAAACTACTCAGTAGATTTCCCAATTGATATTTCATTTCGGACAAGCTACAAAGGGACCCATTAATTCAAGTCTGTAAAAGCAAAAGAATTGAAAAATGTCAACAATGTTCTCTCTACAGTAGAGAGGGCTTCTCAGGAAGCAGAGTGTTTCCTCTCCACGGGGTCCCAGAAAGCTGTTTCTCATGCAAACCTGTTCAGTTTCATGAAACACTTTCTGACACACTTCCAGAATATCACTGAGATCTGTCTTATCACTCAGAGAAAATAAGACATCACATTAAGAGAGGGTCTCCATTTTCCTGAGTTTTTCCTCTATAAAACTATCTCTTTAATGACACAGGTAATTGAAATAAACTCAGTAAAGTTTACTGGTAACCAGTAAGAATAGTTCATGCGATCATACCTGCAAAGTCTGAGTTACACTTAAGAGTGACAAGTGTATTTATAAAGTAACATCAACAATTTATTGCAAAGGCTTCAAACAAAATGAAGCCAGCATTTCAAACATACGAAAAAAATGTGTAAAGGGAAATGAGAGGATTTAAATTAGTTAAGGTAATATTCAGACCCTCTCTCTCCACTCAGAAACTATACGTCATTACTCAGAGACTTTCCCCTACCTGGAGGTTTGTCCCAGACAAGGTCCCGTGCCTTTTGCAGTTCCAGCCGCCTGTGCTACTTTTTAAAAAAATCACTGATTCAAATTTCCCTGGTCTTTTGCCTTCCAGTGATACTCCCTGAGTAGGCGGACTAACTACATTTTTTGTACAACTGAAGAAATCTTTAAAAAAATTAGTTTCCCTTCATATTTCTTTGAAATATACCCCCCTCCCCACCAGGCCAATATATTTTTTTAATTGAACAGCCTGAAAATTAAGTAACAGCAGAGAGCAATTGGTCATCTCATTAGCTTTCAGAAATGCGGTTGAAATGCTCGCTTCACTGTCCTTAAGCTTGAAGCGCAGCCACACTTAGAATCTTCACATGAGCAGAGCCCAGAATGGCTGGCTTCTTCCTGTTCTCCCAAATGGCATGATGTCATCAAGCCACCAAAACAATCTACTTTATTCCACAGTACAGAAAGTAAATGGAAAAAGAAATGTACTATGGTCTTACAAATGCCTCATATAGTAAGATGCAATATGGGAGTATAGGAATTAGGAAATCCAACCCAGATTCTGGAAGAAGGCTAAAATAAAAGCATATAGGAAGTCACTGACCCACATTCTTAGAATGCTCTAAAAATGTGGAATCAGCTTTTAAAGCACAGGGCTCTAATGCTGGGAATTCCAAAAGCAGCAGGTTTCAGGAGACATAGATGAGTCTATAAAGACTGCATAAGGAAAGCATAAGCCTAAGGACTTACAGATGTCTGAGGCAACCCCGTCTGGCAACCCATTTACTGCTTTTAGGGAAGCTCACAAAATAAAAATGCAAAGCAGGTTTTGAAGCTTCTCAACAATTTTTTCTCGACCTGTAACTAGTTTTGAAAAAAAATGTCTTACCAAAATGAGATTGTGAAATAAAGTAACAGGCTCAAGGGAAATTTCTATCTATTTTTAACAAGGCTTCTTCCAGATATTAATGTGACAGGCTTACATAGCCAGCTGTAATATAATTCTTTTAAATGTGACCTAATAGATTTATGCATGTTAGCCAATAATTTTAAATATAGTATAAGTATGGCCAATTTCCCCTAATTTTAAATAAATGGATATAAAGGGCTACATAATGTGTTAGAGCATCTTTCTTGAGAAACTTCTAAAAGGAAAAAATAAAAGATATAATTATACTCACACCACCAGCAAAACCTCTGGTCACCTGTTTTGGGTTGTGGAATGCCCCCAGCAGCCGAGAGACCTATATTAATATCAACAAAGAAATGTCACGCACAGAATTAAACCACATGCATTACAAGGCAAAGATAAAGCCATTTCTGACAGCCACTAACGCTGCAAGTTTGCAGAGATATTTGGGAACTTCCGAGGAGTATTTTCTCATATATTAGCTCAATGTGGCAAGCTGTCTCAGATCTGGAAACCTAAATATTCAGATTACCTTCTGCTTTGAGAACTTAAGTTCTATATACTGTAAAGTCAGTTTTATGAATGTAAGTTGTCAAAAGATGTTGAAGGTAGAATGAAACTATACTCTTTCAGGTCAGTCATTGGATTTCCCTCAGATGACCTGTCTTTGAAGCACCTCCTGCTCCAATCCCTAAAGGGAGAAACTGGTCCCACAGAGGTCAAATGCTGTCAAAGGTCACATGGGGAGTCCATGTCACAGGAGAACCTCATCATCTGATTCCACAACCCAACACTCTCAGCATCTATGTGTTTTAGCATCACACACAAATCCAGGTCTAAAGAGGTAATATGCGGAACCCAGTTACTGAATAAAACCATTACTGATGTCGATGAACCATGGTGTGCTTGATGACTGCAAAATAAATCTGTTGATAGCCAGGAAAGCTTCAGCATGTGTTCCTTCTGCAGGAACCAGGTGCTTTCACATTATTTTATTTAAGCCTGAAACAACTCTGTGAAGCAAATATAGATATTTTACAGATGGACATATTAAAGCTCAGGGATGTTAAGTAATTTGTTCAGGGTCACACAGCCAATCAGTGGCACTGTCAGGATTTAAACCAAAAGACTGCTATATTCCAATGTAGAGCTTTTTTCACACACAAAAAAATGCATGTGAACGTCATTTTAAACTCAAAAAAGGAGTTGGAGTATCAAATTCTACAGGAAAAACGATTGTTTTTTATGGTAGGTTTCTAGGGGACTGTTCTTGACGGCACCAGCAGGCCTGAGGGCCTCTCTTCCCTGTGCCTATAGCTGGTGGTGTGACCTTGGTCCCAGAGCAGGCAGAATGGGACTAATAACTGGGAACACCCAGCCGCCTGGGGAGCCTGGGTTCCTCTCGCGGTCTGACACCGACTTCCTCCGTGACCTTGAGAATGACCTCTAAAGGCACTGGTGAGCGCCATCCAGGAACCAAGAAGCCCCAGAGATGGTCTGAGCCGTGCCCAGCCCCGATATCCCCGCTGTCAGGAGCGCGGAAGCTCTCCAGATCGCAGAACGTCACCAAAAAGGCGGAGGAGCTGCCGGATTCCCTCTCCGAGGGTTCAGGGGACAATTCTAAGGTGTTAGGTGCCCCTGTCCTTCGGAGGGGACAGAGCCGCAGGGGCAGACCCGGGGGAAAGCTGGCGAAGGCGGAGGGGGGAGCGAAGACCTGGCAGGAGGCGGCCTGGGTTCCCCCACCGGACCTCGCCTGCCCGGTGACCGCAGCCCGCGAGCTGACCCGGCCCGGCCGAGCGGACCTGAGGAGGCCGGGCCGTCAGCGCAGCGCGGGCCCGACCTCAGGCCGTCCC